AACCCGCCTCAAAGCCAACACTGATTGGACGTTCGTTTGGTGAACGGCTCCAACTTTTCTTTAACGGAGAGTCTCCAGACTGATCTGAGAGTGAAACCTTGAAAGCTTGCGAGATCAGGATGGTCTCACGAGGCTACCAAGTCGTTGCCCATAGGAAGACGTTACTTGGATATAACCTCAAAATCATGAGACCAATGGAAAAAAATGGCGTTCCCCCTTAACCCCACACTGCTCCCCAGGCGCCACACGGTGATGGTTTATTGCAGAGAGGGAATTTCTCCAGTGTGAGATCAATAAAGTTAAATTATTATTCTTATAGGATGGCACTTCAAGCTAAAGGCCTGTAACCTGCTGAAGGACGGCGAAACCGTCCCTCATTTCTTCTCGATGTGTGGAAAGATGTTCAGCATGTTTTTGTCCTGTTGTCCTGCAGGTCACGCCATTTTTAAGATCACCTATCACAGTAACCATGACTACAAGGCTCTGTTCTTTGAGTCTGACGCTGCTACGGTTAACGAAATCGTGCTGAAGGTAAGTAACAAGGAAGGAAGGAAGGAAGGAAGGAAGGATCTGATTCTAAGCGGCGTTCTCCTCCTGCCAGGTGAACTACATCCTGGAGTCCCGGGCCAGCACCTCACGGGCCGATTACTTTGCCCAGAAGCAACGCAAACTCAGCCGCCGGACAAGTTTCAGCTTCCAGAAGGAGAAGAAGACGGGGCAGTAGTCTGAGGGAAAGGTTGCTTCCATCCACCGGAGGCCTGCAGTCTCATGGGGGGGATTCAGGACTTCAGATCCAGAAGGATCAGAGAAATGGAGCCGCATCAGAGATCAGCTGATGATGATTGGACAGGTTGGTCTGCTGAGCTGCAGCCAGATGTTCTCTCCATGGATCCTGGCAGTTAGGGAACGCAGGAGCATCCCTGTCAGCAGCTATGAATTCTCATCATTTTTATGTATTGTATATAAAGATTTTTATAATCGGGACATGAATGGGTGATTTAGAAAAAGCCGTTTGGCTTTTGACGCGTCTGCCTTGAATCAATGCGTTTGGTTCTGCTCTGTGAAAGGAGCAGCATCTCCATCATCCCGTCAGTTTAAACCAACACAGAAATGTTCCTACATGAATGTCTGAGCTTCTGATCTCTGCAGAGCTTTTTATTCCCAGCATGCAGGAAACGCCACCTTTTGCTTTTCCATGTCTACTTGGACGGTTTGGCATCAATAACACAAGAATAAAAGAACTTCAAGACATTTTCCAGCTGTTATCTTTATTGTCATATTCACCACATTTCAACCGGCTTCCTTTAAAATGAGATTTAGTGGGTGATTAATGTTTGTACCAAGGAGCTGAAGCATCCATTCAGGAAGCCTTGATGTCACACTTAAAGCTCATTATGCTACCAGACCTTAGCTTAGCATTAGCTAACAGCTAATAACCTCCTCTTTGCTTCCTGAAGTCGATCTGAATCTAGACCAATGTTCCTGTTGATGCAGAATCCCTTCCTGGTGACGTTGTCATGGTAACCAAAGTAAATGTTTATTTCTTTCATTTTGACTCATCAAAATGTATAAATGATTCTTCATGCAGTAAGTTTGCTTTCCTGTAAATGTTAACACTTTCATTGTCCTCCAACCATCTGCAGAAATAATGAGGATGAAGTTGGATTCTGACCCAAACCGATGGTCGATTTAAACGTTAGCAGCAGGGGCGGATTTAGGACATGTGGGGCCCTGGGCAGAGACAGGCAGGGGCCCCTCTGGATGGAGAAGACAACCCATCAAACAGCCCCATTCTCCAGATAGAGACATGTTAATAGAATAGACATCCATTATCTGTTCTAGGTTGTGTCCCTCTCTTCTTGTCCCTTTTCTTCTT